AGCTTTCTGATACTTCTTCAAAAATATTCTGTGGCACTCCACTTCCCACTAGCTTAAGGCTGTCTGCTCAGCGTTCAGGCTCCAGCTGGCCTCGGGCCTTCCAAGGCAGGCGTGATCACTGGTGACGCCGCTGTACCGTATTCTTCATGTCCGATTTACAGAAACCCGCTTTTGCAGGACCACACTGCTGGCGAGTCATGCAGCTGGGGCCAGAACCAGGTCCCCAGGGCTAAAGCCCAGACTTAGTGGCTCCACCAGCTTCTGCCCCCTGGGTTCCAAGCACAGCCTGTGGGACAGTGTCCCACTCGGAGCACTGTGCCCATGAAGGGTCATAGAGAAGGTAGGGGAGAAAGGAAGAAGGGAGGGGTGCATGGGTGGGAAGTTCTCACGTCACCCTGTGGCTACCCCCAGGGTGGCCAGGCAGAGCCAGCTGCAGGCCCAGGTTTCCCTCTGTTAATGAGCACTTTAAGGTTAGCACCTCTTTGCAAGCCCCAGGGAGAGGGAAACTAGTTTCCTGCAAAGAGAAGCTACTAGGCCTTTGAGAGGACAAAAGTGTGTGTGTGTGCGCACACACGCTCGTGTGTGCATGCGTGTGTGTGAGAGAGAGAGAGAGAGAGAGAGAGAGAGAGAGAGAGAGAGATGATTCTAAGGACCCAGATGTCAAAATACTACCAACTCCTTTATGACTCTTTCCTGAAACAGAGTACAAAAAAAATGGACACAGAGGGTTGATACTTATTTCTTTTGTGGCGTTGAATCTTTGCCTTGAGCTGCACTGCCCCACCCCACCCTCTTTATTTTTTATTTTGAGATAGGGTCTCGCTAAGCCTTTCAGTTGCACATGTTGGGCTCCAGCTTGCAGTCTTCCTGCCTCGGCCACCTAGGGCGCCGGGATTACATGCGCAGCTCAGAGGGGTGATCTTTCCAGGAAGGAAGAAGGGTGGAGCTGTGGGCCGAGAGTGGGCAGCCTGAGGACTCACTGTGGGGCTCATCCTAGAAGTCCTGGCTTGTGCTCCTGCACAGCGTGGTGGGAAGAGGATTTGGACAGCCATGGTGAGGTGAATGGCCTGCGCCCTGGTGGCTGAGTGAGACGTGCATGCCTCCAATGCCTGAGATCCCACAAACACCCCCCTTCACAGTTCCCAGCTGCTGAGACACCACAGAGGACCCCTTTTTTCCTGCTTCCCACGCCAGTGGGGGCTGCAGAGGACCTGCTGGATGAGACCCCTCTGCAGGGTCCCCTGTCTCTCCTGTGCCCGGGACTGGCACTCTCCAAGGCAGCCCTTCTCCTGACAGCTGTGTCTTCCCGCAGCACAGTTAATTTTCTGCTGTTCAGGGAAGTGACAGCAACTTGAAGCAAAGCAATTAGGATGTAAAAGAGCCCCAGCTGCTTGGAGCCAAAGGAAAATAAACAGACAGGCCTGTGTATACTCTGCTGCCAAGAGCAGCCATTCTTCATGGGCCGATTAGCACCGCCGGCCCCAGCCTCTTCCCCTCCCCAAAAGGAAGCGATGTGACCCAGGATCGCCTCTGTTCTCAGACCCCATTCTCCCCAGTCATGCCGCGGACTTGACAGTCTTCCTGGCCACCTGCCCGTGCCCAGGGCCCTGCAGAAATGGTGCCCTCCCCTCTGAGGCCCGAGCTTGCCACCTCCCTGTGGGTTTACCCTGATTGATTGATTGATTGATTGATTGATTGATTGGCTGATTGATTGATTAATTGATTGATCAGAGGATTCACTCATTCATTTGTCTGTTCATTCATTCATTGATCCTTTCAACAGACATCCAGTGAACACAATTCATTCACTCAGCAAATACTCATGAAGCCCCTGCAGTGTTCTAGTCACTGTTCTAGGTCTTGAGCACTTGATTCAGGGGGTGTGCAGTGGGGGTGTAGCTCAATGGTAATGGGCTCATTCAGCCTGCTTGAGGTTCGATTCCCCAATAGCAAAAAGCAAAACAAGCCCTCCCCCACCAAAAGAAATTCATGAAGTTCAAATTTTAGTAGGAGAAAAGAGACCATGAGTAAAGGTTAATACAGTGTGAAAAATGAGGCTAAATGGGCTGGCCAAATAGCTCAGGAGATTAAAGCCCCTGCAAGTAGGTGCAGGAGCCAGGGGTTCAATCCCTGGGCCTACCGTGCAGGCCCACTTCCAGGGCACGCTGAGACAGTGATTGAGACTAGGCGTGGTGGTGTGCACCTGTAATCCCAGCTCTTGGGAGGCTGTTAACAGGCAGATCACTAGGAGTCTGATCTAGTAGTGAGACCCTGAACACCCTGCAGACCCTTTCCTAAAACAAACAAACAAACAAACAAACAAAAAGGTGCTAAATGTTTTGGAGGAAAGAAACAGGGACAGGAGGTAGGGAAGGAGAAAAAGGGGAGGGGGAAGCTTAAGGTCAGGAAGGGCCTGAGAGTGACATCTGACAAAGACCTGCAGGGGTGGAAGAGAGGGAAGGGGAGCCAGGCAGAGGGATTTGGAGCAGGCCTGGTGTGTCTGAAGAATGGTAGTGGGGCTGGCAAGCTGAGAGGAAATGAGGTGGCGAGGTCCTGAACGGCCTTTGGGTTGCCACCCAAGGGCTCTGTGGGGAGGAGTGACTCACCGGTTGCCATGGCAATGGGTGGGGGGACAAGCAAGGCCACAGGCCCCCTGAAGGGGGCATTGGAAAAGCCTGGTTGCTCCTGCCCAGTCCCTCAAGCTACATAAACACACGAAGTCTAGGACAGTGTGGGTGAAGCCCCCAAAGAGGTGGGCACAGAGAGTAGGGTGAAAGGGAGTTGATGCAAAGGAGCCTGTCTGAAGCTGCCTGCCCATCTCAGAGTGTCACCACAGGAACATGCATGCTTCTGCGTTCAAAGTGGGTCCCGGCCCCTTTTACTCATGTGACCTCTGAGTTTGGGTTTGGTTTTTTTCTCTCCTTTGAGAGAGGTGCAGAGCTGCTGCTGAGCTACCTAACACTTAAAATTCCTAAAAACTTGCCAGGATTGTTGGAACACATCTGTAAAGCCAGCACTCAGGAGGCTGAGGCAGGAAGATCATCCCCAGCCTGTACTACATAGTGAGACCCTGTCTCAAAAAAACCAACCAAACAGACATCTTAAAAACTCCAGAAAGTCAACTGTGGGAAACAGTTTACTCCATGTGATTACTGTGCCGTTTTAATTCTGCACAAAAGACATCTCAGAATTCCTGCTTGGAGTGAAGAACTGCCAAATGAAGGAGCCAAACAGGCCCAGCTACTGCCCCCTGCGCAGCCCAGCAGTTCTGTGGGTGGGAAGGCCCGAGCTGACAGGCCTCAGGGTCACATATTTCACATATTCAGCGCTGGTCAGGAGGCCAGAGCAAAGAGGAGGTACTCTGTGTTGCTAAGAAAAATGATCCAGATGAGAATGGCAGCACTTGTGTGCAATGCCAGTGCTCTAGGAGGCTGAGGCAGGAAGGTTGCAAGTTCGAGCCCAGCATGGACAATTTAATGATATAGCAAGACCCTGACTCAAAATGAAAATGAGCTGAGCATGGAGCTCAGTGTGAAAGCCTGGGTTAGAGGGAGAGAAGAAGAAAGAAAGGGGGAGGAGAGGGGAGGGAAGGAAGAGGAAGAGGCAACTTTGGGAGCAGGGCATAAGGACCCCAGGTCTTTTCAGCATCCCCAGGTCAGGGCTGAGCATCAAAGGTATTTAATTACCCAGCAGCAAGTACCTTTGTTCTCCCAGCTTACTTGCTGATTAGGGCTGTGCCTCTGAGGTCTCACGCTACCCTGAGGGTGCATGTGCCCAAGTACAGAGGTGCTTCTAGGACACAGCCACAGATATGATGGTTTTATTGCCCCATAAAACAATATCCAGTTTCATCACTAACCCAGCAAACTTACTTCAGCATGTCTTTCCCAACTTAATATACAAATCTGTCTTTCAAATGCTCTTTCTGACCGGCTTTGCCCTCTACTGGTTCCACTACAAATTGAATCAATCACTGACATGTGATAGAAAATATACTTTGGCAGAACCAGAACTGAGGGGCTCTGCAGTGCTGGGTGGCTTTGGGCCAGCCAGTCAGCTTCTCCGCGTATCTCACTGGCTGCACAGCGAGGGCACCGGCTCCCAGGAGGACATTGAAGAACTTTGTAGCATTCACAGGAGCTGACAATCAGGGTTTACTGTTGTCACTCATTGGACAAGTCTATTCCAGGGATGGAAGGTCCTGAATGAAGGTGGCCTTCTGTATACTTGGAACACCAGGGTAACCTGAACCAGTGTCCTGCCCAGAAGCCAATCCTGGATGTCCAAAGGGGATAAGACTTTGTCTAACAATGCAAGTCAGTGGCAGGTCCCTAACCAGTGGCCCCCACAGTTTGAGTCCTTGCAAAGCCTCATTTTATTCTGCAGTTTTGGAAATGCCCCTAGCTAACAGCATAAGGCCTCTACTCTGACTCTTGTGTGCAGCTGCTGTGTATAGACACACTCAGAATGATGTCACAGCCAGGAGTCCAATGAGAATGCTGGTAGCCAAGGCCAGGCAAACAAGGAGCTGGGTCAGCCCATCCTGCGCAGAACAGGTGGAAGCCAGCAGACAGACAGAGGGACAGGAAAAGCATCCATTCCAGGCCCAGGAATAGGCAGGAGCATTGGCTGGAAGGAGAAATGGGGCCTGTAGGAATACACTGAGGAGTGAGGCAGGACTGGGCTCTCACCTTGAGTGATCTGAATGACCTGAGGCGTGAGGGTTAAGGCTCCACCCTCCCTGTGGGGATGGCAGAAAAGGGCAATGGCAAACTTCATGCCCTCTGACCGTCTATGTACCCAAGGGAGGATGTAGGGAACCCTTCCCTCCCCCACAGGCTGCACCAGGAACAGCCCAGTTGCCTCCACCCACAGTGCCTCAGCCTCCAAGGTTCAGGGGTGCACCTACAATCAGTCCATGCTCCTCGCTCTGAAAGCTGTTCATTTCTCTTCTCCTATGTCTCACTTGCCCAGTCACGCCTTTTTTTTTTTTTTAAATCAGCATGTTGTTTTCAATCCTTTATGGAGGGAGACAAATATGTGTAAAACTTTTGTCCTAAAATATTGTCTTGGGGCTGGGGAGATGGCTTTGTGGAATAAGCGCTTCCCTGGCAAGCGCAAGGGCCTGAGTTCAATCCCTGGTTCCACCACAAAAAAAAGAAAAAAAAGAATACCTAAAATTGTCTGGTTGGGACTGAGCTGTCCGGAGGTTGATCTCAAGCTCTGTGGCCCCTGGCCAGTGACCACACCTCTCCTAGTACTGTACTGGGCACAGGTTAGGCACCTAGTTCTTGCCCACTGATCGGCGGTTTGGTTACTATCACCTAATCCATGTCCAGCCATGCTTGATTAGTGGCCCAGTCATGTACAAGCATGGGTTACTCAAATCCTAAGCCACTACCCCTCCTGCTAACACTGTGTGACCCACCAGCTCTTGGCAGGGGCCAAGCGATCTGAGGACTCCAACCCCAGCATCCTTGGTACTCCCTGAGAACCTTGGTTTGCATCACTAGACCAAGAACCGATGGTCTCCATAGGTCAGAAGTTCTCAGAGGTCCCCCGGGCCAGCTTCACACTCCGCCTCTGCTCAGGGACAATTCTGGGTGCCTCCTCTACAGCCACTCTGAGATCACAGCTCTGGCAAAGGCAAGGCCACAGGTCCAGGTGCGCCAGGGGGCAGCCTCAGCAGGAAGGTTTGCAGGGATCCGGGCCGGGGAAAGCCAATCTTCTCTCTGAGCAGCCGCCAGGTGCCTTCTTCGATGGCATAGAGCAGCGTAGACAGGCGGTTGACCGTGTAGACCGTGTCACCGCGCACCACAGCTGTGAAGAGCGCTCCCTTGCTGTTGACAAACTGGCCTGGAAGTGCTGTCCACTGTCCGGTGACCAAATTGAGACAGTCGATGGCGCAGTGCAGGAAGTCGTCGGAAGGTCCGTTGCGCACCACGTACAGGCTGTCGCGATGGGCCACCATGCAGTGGCCGTAGCTCTGTGGACGCCGCAGCTGGGCCACCGGTTGCCATGCGTCAGTCCGTGCCACATACTCCACGATGGTCGTGGTGTCCGCAGGCCGCCACAGGCACACAAAAAGGCGGCCGCGCGCCTGGGCACAGGGAACACCCGCGGCAGGCTGTGGCAGGTCGGCTACAAAGCTCCAGCAGCCGGTGGCTGGATCATAACGTTCCACGGAACTAACGGGTGTCCTCTGGAACTCTCCCCCGATGGCATAGAGGCAGCCATCGAAGCCGGCCAGCGCCAGGTCGTAACGCGGCTGATGAGGGCTGGGGAATTCGTTCCAGGTGCCGCGGTCAGGGTCGTAGCAGAAGCCGAGCTCCACCACCTCCTTGCTGGCGCCCCGCACGCCACCCACGATGTACAGCTTGTTGCCCAGCGTGGCCACGCCCGCCAGCATCGTGCTGGCCTCCAGGGGCAGCGCGGCCAGCGTACGCCACGCGTCCTCCTCTTCGTCCAGGTAGCACATGGTGCGCGACTTGTCCTCCAGGAAGCCGGGCGCGGGCGTGTGCGTGCTCAGCGCCACGTAGTAGCTAGGCCGCAGGGTGGCCACGTAGGCGCGGGCTTCAGGCAGTGCCAGCCCGGCCGCCAGCTCGCAGGTGCTGTCGCGGATGAGGAGCGCGGCGCTGTGGAACACGTCGCGCAGGCCGAAGACGGCGGCCGCGTCGCACAGCAGAGCGCAGTTGTCGGACGTGAGGCTGTGCTCCAAAAAGCGCGCAAGCGCCGGCGCCTGCAGGAAGGCGGCGCACTCCACCGCCTGCAGCAGGTCGTCCTCGGCTGCCAGCGCCGGCCGCTGCCCGCGCAGCACCTGCAGGGCCGTGCGGAAACCGTCGGCGCTCAGCGCCCCTAGACGCACCTCGGCAGCGCGCGCCTCCCGCATGCCGGAGCGGAAGAGGCCGCGGAAGAAGCCGCAGTGCTCCACCAGCAGGCCCTGCTCGGCCTGGAATAGCTGACCGTCCACCCACACCTGCACCGGGACCTCGGGGCCCCGCGGCATGCTGGGCCACTGGGGCCGGGAGCCGTGGGCCACCAGCACTGGGGCTCCCCTTTGCAGAACAACTTCCTCCGGGATATAAATACCTCCCTGGCTAAAGATAGTACGGCTCATGTGATTTGGTGGCCAGCAAGCTGCGTGGCCACCGGCCCGGAGGGCATCTGGAGACCTGTGGGGTCACTCTGATAGAAGTGACAATAGTGGCCGGATACTGAGCGCCTACTGCATGCTGGGCCCTGAAACAGCTGTATGCACCAATAGCCCTGCTGCACAAATAACCAGGTTAAAGTTAACTCTAACCATATGCCCTTGTGCAAAGCAAGGGTCCTAACTTCCAGCCTCGTTTTCCATCTATTTTATTTATCTTTTTGAGACAGGGTCTCACTATGAACTTCAGGCTGGCCTTGAACTCGCTTTGTAGCCCAGGCTGGAACGTGCAATGATCCTCCTGAGTGCTGGTATGACAGGCGTGCATCACTATGCTAGTCTTCTTTATCCTTAAAGTGACACCTATTTTACAGGACTGAGGCGGTATCTGCAAAGCATTCTGAATGAGACTCAGTTTGGGCTGCTTGTCCCGGGAGGCTCAGGGGGAAAAAATCCAGGACAGGATTAGTCAGTACTCAGCTCAGGCCATGGGCTCAGAAGGGCTGGTGGTGGGGTGGTGGGTGGGAGGGAGTTGACCAAAATGAGTGGTTCAGGATCAGGGCTCTAATATGGCCTGAGTTTCTGCCCCTGCTTCTGAAATGAGCCTGAGGCTTTTGTGAGTTTCAGTATTGTTTGTGTAAAAGGGGAGGAGAAGCGTCCCCGATCTGCCAATGAGTGGCCAAGAAGCTACCTGTGCAAATAATCCCGATGCGGTTGGAAGTGAGCAGCTGATGTCTGTTGTTCATTTGCCAGACCCCGAGTCGCTGTGTGGTTCTGGACTCTAGAGAAGGAAGAAAGGGGTGTGTATGTCTGTGGGAGGGAAGAAGAGTTCTGGAAATAATAACTTTTTTTTGCTGGTAGTAGGGATCTAGTGCAAGGCCTTTGCACAGAACTGTATCCCCAGCCCCTCATAGTTTTATTTTATTTTAAATTTATTTATTTATTTATTATTTTTATTATTTATTTATTTATTTGATACAGGGTCTCACTACACAGTTCAGACTTGTAGTGATCTTCCTGTCTCAGCTTCCCCAGCAGGTGTGCACCACTGTGCCCAGTTCCTTTTTAGTTTTAAAGTTTATTTATGTTCATTGTGAAACAGGGCCTTACTAAGTCACTAACTTGCCTAGCCTTTGCTTGAACTTGCAATCCTCCTGCCTCAGCCTCCCAGAGAATTAATAAGTAGGCTTAATAAGTAGGCTTATACCCTGACACACTGGCTCTATTTTCCCATCACACTTGCTGCAGGGCTCCCAAAGTAAGGACAATGTCTACAGTGTCTCCTCCATGGACCAGAGGGCACCCTGGGACAGTCCCCATCTGACCAGGAGCTCCTCCAGGGTAGGATGGGGGTTCCACTAGACAGACAACAAAGCCAGGTCTGGGCTGCAGAAAGGCTCAGGGTCTGCTGTGCCTTCCTTCCCAGCCCTCAGCCCCTCCTCCAAGCGGTGGGGGTGCCCAGTAGAGAGGGAGGGAGCGTGGGATCACCAAGAGGCTTGGTCACATGGCCAGAGATTGACAGACCTAGGACTGGAAGCAGCCACTTTGAATCTAGCACAGTGGTGGTGAACATCGATGGTGCAGGTGCCACAGCCGACTCTTTGCACTGAAAGCTCTAAGAGGCCCACCATCTCTGGTCTGGATTGTGTGCTCCTGACCGCTATGCTTTGCGGCTTCCCTACATTACCTATGCTGGGCAGTTAGGTGGCGCCTTGGGCTCCTGGGTCCAACCTTTTGATTACAGGGGTGGGGACGTGGCTGGGGTATGGGGTAGAGGGAATCGCTGGCCCAGGCTGCCTGCTGCTCAGCCCCCAGCAGAACTTTCCTAGGTGCTCTGCTGAGACTCTGAATCCCACAGTGTCAGGTGGGAGGAGTTTATGGTCATCTTTGCGTGCCACTTGGAACCTGAGGCCCAGACCCTTGGTGACTGCTATTGATCACTGTGTCTGTCCACTTGGCTGCACCAGGGTGGGGCTGGCATGCTGGGGCCACTTGGCTGAGCCTGGGAAGCTGGAAGCCTGTAGGAGGCAGCCAGAAATATTTCCCATGATCTGCCCCAGGGACCAAACAGGAAGAGGAGGCGGCAACCAGGGAGTAGGCAGGAGTCCCCATAGGATTTCCCAGGCCCTCTGCCAGCTTCTCATCTTCCCTGAAGCCAGGCACTGGCTGAAAGAGCCAGGAAGGTCCAGGAAGCAGGCATGACACCCCCTCCTGGGGCAAGTGGGGGCTCTGCACTGGCTTTGTGTTAGCTTGCTTCCAGAAGGATCCATCCCTGGCCTGGTCCCTGAGGCAGAGTGGGTCGGTCTAGTGCGCCACCAGCTCTCAACTTCCTGCAACCGGCTTGGGGAGAGGATCACCGAATGGGGCGTGGCTCTGGGGCGGGCCGTTGGTCCCAGTCTGATCCCCAAGGGTGCCGCCTGCTGCTGGGAGCCTTTCCTCCTCCCAGGCAGAGAGTCCCTTTGGGACTTGGAGAGGACTCAGTAGCATCCTGGCTGTGGGCGGCCTCCAGAGTTCCCAGGCCCTGGCGACCCCGCGCTCCCTCCCTCTCTACTGGGCACCCCCACCGCTTGGAGGAGGGGCTGAGGGCTGGGAAGGAAGGCACAGCAGACCCTGAGCCTTTCTGCAGCCCAGACCTGGCTTTGTTGTCTGTCTAGTAGAACCCCCATCCTACCCTGGAGGAGCTCCTGGTCAGATGGGGACTGTCCCAGGGCGCCCTCTGGTCCATGGAGGAGACATGGTCCTTACTCTGGGAGCCCCTGCAGGAAGTGTGATGGGGAAGCCCGGGCAGTGAGTAGCTTGCACTGCCTGGACCTGGAGGAGGAGTCAGAATCCCTGCCCGTGTGTGTGTGTGTGTGTGTGTGTGTGTGTGTGTGTGTGTGTTCTTGGAGGTTGAACCCACTGTGCTGAGCTATCCTCCTAGCCCTTCAATTTTTTTTCCAGTCCCTAAAGTATGGAGGCTTGGCTGGGACTTCAACTCCTCCTGCCTCAGTCTCCCAAGAGTGCTCCAATTGCAGCCGTACACCATCACACCTGGCTCTTGCCTGGGCTTTGCCTTAGCTTGTGAGAGCTCCCAACCCAACTGTGACTCAGTTGTGCATCTGGGAAGCGGAGTTTGGATCTGACTTCTAGGTTTCTGTCCAGCTTTGGCATCTGAATTTATCACCAGAGCACCACAGGAGTAGTTGTCCTGTCTCCAGGAAAGGTGGTGGCATCGCAAAGGACTTATAGATTCTTAGTTTTTCTGGAGCGGCTCCTGGAGTCACCTGGAGCCAGGCATCAGGAAGGCCTCCTGCAGCTGCAGGTCACATGAGAGACAAGTACCTGCTGCATGTCCTGCCCTTCCTTAGGGGGCAACAGCCTTGGTGGCCTGAGGCGGGGAAGTGAGCTCCTTGCCCTAACAGAATGACCTCTCACCTGAGCTCAAGGCTCCAAACTCCCACTCTCTAAACTCCTGCCCACCGAGTTCTGGGTCGGTGGGTGGGAGCTGTGTGCTGCAGAAGGCACAGCAGGAGCTCGCTGCTGCTTTTGGGGGCCCTGAGCCACGCTCTGGGTGGGACTTCCTTGTTCCTTAAACCTTCATATCCTCCCTGAGGAATTGAGGCCCACAAGGGCCAGGTAGCTTATTCGAAGGCCCAATAGTGAGGAACTTGATTCCCAAGACCTTTCCAGGCCACTGTGGACAGCTGGAGAAGTTGAGGAGACTGAGGGTTGGGACAGGGACCCACAACCTGCAGGCGGGCACATGTCTTCCCAGGCCTGACTCTGAGCGGGGCTGTAAGGAGCCAGGCACAAGCTGGGAAGTGGCAGAGTCCACGTGTGCAGGCTGGCAGCACGTCCCTAGCCCCGCAGTCCTCTGCTGACAGTGGTTCTCTCCTCTCAGGGCCCCACTGGGAACTGCTCTGTCTGTACAGGACACACAGGACAGGCACAGTGGTGGGGCTGGAGCTGGCCCTCCACTTTCCCAACTCCTACAGCTTGAAGGGAAACCCTGGGCTGTTGGCTGTATGAGCAGCTCCGACCCAGGGTGTGATGGAAACAAATTCCCCCGGGCACTTAGAGCCTGAATAGCACACCTGGCTTACTGTGATCACCCTAAAAACGTTCCGCTGAGTCAAAATTCATGTGCAATCCAGGAAAAGTTTCCCTTCATGCTGTATGGGCCGGGTTGCCGTGGCTGCTTCTCTCGTGGATGAGTGGGATGGGTGAATAATCAACTGGCCATCTGAGGGACAGGGGACAGGGAAGAAGCATAGTGAGGCTCCTGTCCCCTTCCAGGCTCCAACCTGGAAGTTTTCCAGAAGATGGGGTGGATTCTGTCATTCTCTTACGCCGGAGTCACTTTGTGGCATTTTAGATTTATTTCCCCTTGCCTTTCATGCTTACAGCTGGGGACACAACAAGAAGCGAGGAGACTCACCCAAGGTCTTGCTACTCCTTGATTCAGGGGAAGGCACACACCAGATCTGAAGTGTCTGGGTTCTTGGTAGCCTCCTGCCCTGTCACTAGCATTTTACCCCGAGGCCCAGGGCAATGGCCAGGTGGTCTTCAGGCTCACCAGCAATCCCACCACTGCCTAGGCAGGACAGGGAGCCAGGTTTTAGAACAAACGTCCATTTACGCAACGGACAGCTAACACGTGCAGCGCATTAGCTCTCATCAGGAGAAACAAACCTGGGTGGATTAGGTGTCGGAAGCTGAGCCACACCGGCACAGCTGTAGGAGGGGCTCTCACGCCTCTTGCCATGAGCCTACATTCTGCAATGATGCCCGAGTGCCCCGCACCCAAAGGCCGGGACGGGGGTGTAGCGGGCCAAGGGTGTGATCTAAAAGTGCCAGGCAACAGCGTCAAGCTGGGAGGCGTCCTGGAGGAGGAGGCAGGACGAGTGGTGGGTCAAAGAAAGGGGAGGGTTTTCTTGCTGCTGGGAAAAGACCAAGGGAAAAAGGCTAGAATCAGGGTCGTCTGTATTGGGCCGTTGGCCGACACGGAACCCCCTACCCGCGCCAGGGAGGGACGATCCCTTAAAAGGAGTTCGCGGCTCGGCCCCGCCCGCCGCCCCTCCCCCACCCGCGGCGGGACGCGAGCGCTGGGCTCGGACCGCTCGGCGCCGGGTGGACACCGACGGGCTCGGGGACGCCGGCAGGCGCGCGGCTGGGGTACTCGGTCCACTCCGGGGCGCCCTCTGCGGTCGCCATGGCCTCGGTGTTCGGAAAGCCCCGCGCTGGCAGCGGGCCCCCAAGTGCACCCCTCGAGGTCAACCTGGCCGTCCTGGGGCGCCGCGGGGCCGGCAAGTCCGGTGAGTGGCGCTGCCCAGGGCGGGGCCCGGGAGCTGTGGCTTTGGGGGGCCTCTGAGATTTTCTTCTTTGCCTCAGTTTCTCCGTTGCTGGCTCTCTCAGCTCTTCTGCCTTTGTGCGCAGCCCCTCCTTCCGGTTCTTCCGTCCTCTGCTTCTGCCTGCCTCTTCCCTCTGTGTCCCTGCCTTGCTTGGCTGTGACCCTTAACTGTGCCCTCTCCCACCCTGAACCCGCTCTCTCTGGGTCTGCAAACCCTCTCCATCTCCACTCCATTTCCCCTCCCTGGGGCAAGCAGAGAGCCTGGGTGACCTTTGAACTTGGCTATAGCCTTCCTACTCCTTGATTCAGGTTGTCACCTGCGCACAGATGCGCCCCCACACATACACCCACACCACTGAAGAGAGTTGGTAGAAGTTCCTGGCATTAGAACATTTCAGGCCTCCCCAGTTCCTTGGGATCTGGGGACAAGCCTTGCATGCTTGTCAACTGTGTTTATTTCAAGTCACACCCATCTCTTGATGTTTTGGAAATATGCTGGGCTGTGACAGTCCCAGGTGGCTGAAACTTGTCTTTTTTTTCCCCCTTCTAGAGATTGAACCCAGAGCTATTCACACTGAGTTATAGCCCTAACCCATGTTGTCTGTCTGTCTGTCTATCTGCCTGGCTGCCTTCCTGTCTGTCTATGTATGTATGTATGTATGTATGTATGTATGCATCTATCTATCTATCTATTATTAATCTTTTGAGACAGGATCTCTCTATGCAGTCCAGGCTGGCCTTGAATTCAGTATGTACTCCGTGCTGGCCTAAACTCACAGAGATCCTCCTCTCTCAGCCTCATGCATGCGCTACCACGTCTGGCTTTATTTTTAATTTTGAGACAGTTTCTTGCTAAGTTCTGAAGTCACCCAGAGTGAACTTGAACCTGCCATCCTCCTGCCTCTCAGTGTCCCAGACGGAGGGACTGCATGTCCAGGGCCATCTTTGTCCCACACCTGACTCTGGGACTTGTCTGTGAAGAACCAAGACCTTGGGCTTCCACTGAGACCATTTCTGCCAATGCTGAACTGTGCCTTCACCACTCCTGACTGCTGTCACCATAGACTGAGACCCCAGATAGACCGTTGGCCTTTCTCTGCTGCTGACAGCTACAGCAGCTGGGGGACACGGGACCTCTCCACTGGCTATCTGTCCAGTTATGCCTCTCAGCAAGTGTCACCCTCTCTGCTCAGGGTCTCCAAGACTCATGGGGAACAGGGACTGCTCTGATTTTGAAGCCATCTGCTGGCTCTGAGAAGGTTCCCAGGGTCTGGTTTTCCTCCAGAAAACATTTGTCCTTGTCCATTTGAAAATCAGTTTGCTGTTTGTAGCTCTGCAGCTGGTCCAGGTTAGCTGGTGACTATAAGAATGAAGGAATTTAAACCTTCACATCTATTACCTCAGCCTTTGTTGGTAAACTGACCCTGTGAGGAAGCCTAGGAAAGAACTGAAAGGCTTTCTTGACTTCATAGCAGGCTGGTGGCGGGGCTGGCTGACCCTCCCTTCATGAGGTTACACTCGGACAACCTAGGAACCTCCCAGTGTCCTCTGTCTGCAAGAGCTTTGTCCTGGAGTCCTCCATCCTGCTGGGAGAGACGAGGAGGCCCTCAGAGAGCTGAGCCTTAGATGTGGACTCCAGGACCTGGGTGCGATTGCTGGGGCCTAGATGTCTCCACACCTTGTGTGGAATCCTGGCCCTTGGGGCTCAGACCCTCAGCGGCCTCCACCCCAGCTCCACTCCTCTGGTCTCTCTGGGTTGCAGCCACAGCTGGCATAGATGCCTGTGCTTTGGAAGCTCTGTGATGCCTGCTCCACGGTGAGGCCGTGTCCCCCCCATTGGGACCACACCAGGCTGACCTGAGTAACCGACCACTATGTCTGGGTCCCCACCAGCACCCCCTTAGCCTGGCCTCTCCTTACCTTCTTGCTATTAAAAACAACCCTGGGAGGGTGACTACCCAGGACTTGGCCCCCGGATTTTTGGTTCCTTCTGAGCTGCACGTGACCACAGGAACTGAGACCCTCTCTTTCTCCTTCCCACAGCTCTGACTGTGAAGTTCCTGACCAAGAGGTTTATCAGCGAATATGATCCCAACTTGGGTAAGAAACCAATGGTCTTTGGGCCTCCTGATGCCCGCCTGTGCCTCACCTGGTGTGCTCCCAGGGACTGGCATCTGTGGACAGCAGTAGGCCCCTCCAGGATAACTCAGCAGTGGGGAGATTATTTTTTCTGGCATTGGGGGTTGGATTCAGTACTTTCTCACTGAACTATGTTCCTTTTTTATTTTTATTTTTTATCTTTTAGTGGTACCAGGGATCAAACTCAGGACCTTCGCTTGCCAGGAAAGCACTTATTCCACTGAGCTACCTCCCTGGCCCCTGAACTACATTCCTGGCCCTCTTTTATTGTACAACAGAGTCACACTAACTTTGCTAAGATGCCCAGGTTAGGCTTGAACTTGTGGTCTTCTTGCCTCAGCCTCCCAGAGCGCTGGGATTCCAGGCACAGGCTCCCAACGGGGGAAATGTTTTAAGTGTCGCAGATCCCCCCTCCATGGCCCATTAGAGGCAACCTGGAGGTTGGCCCAACTCAAAGAACTGAGAGGCTGACTTGCCCCCAAATAGGAGGTGTGGTGAAACTTTCAAAAATGAAAATAAAAAAACTCCAAACATAGCAGATGTCCACATCCAAAGAGGTGTTGTTCTTTTACAGGGTCACTCAGTGTTCTTTTCTAGAAAAGCCGGGCAAGAAAGACATTTGGAAAATACTCTGGTGGTGCTGGCTTCAGACTGTTTGTTTGGTTTTTTAAATTAATTTTTATTTATTTATTTGTGTGTGTGTGGCCAGCTCAGCCCACCAGGGGGCGGGGCTGGCTGGCATGTGGTGCTGGGGGATTGAACCGCGGTCCCTGTGCTTTGCTAAGCTTGTTCTAAGTAGGTGCTTTAGACCACTGAGCCATCTCACCAGCCCTTCAGACTGTTTTTGAATGCATGAAAAAAATCTAGTCTTGCTTTTTGCTGATTGTGTGGTACTGGGGGCTGGCCCAGGGCTTTGCACATGCTAGGCAAGCTCTCCTCCTCTGAGCTCTATCCCAGACCTTTGTAAAGTTTCCTTTTGACGCAGGGTTTCACTAAGTTGCCAGGCTGACCTCAATTTGCTGTCCTCCTGCCTCAGCCTCTTGAGTAGCTGGGATTAGAGGTGTGAACCACCACACCCCATTTGTCTTGTGTTGTAGTTGTATCATGGTATATTGGAAGAAGGGATATTTTCATAGCTGTCAGCTAGGTTCAAACACTTGCTTTGCCAATTATTGGCTGTGCACCCTTAAGAGAGTTGCTTACCTTCTCTGAGCTGTTGTTTGTTTCTCCGTCTGTAAAATAGGAGTACAAATACCTGTCTCAGAGAATTACAATGAGGATCCAAAAAAACAATGCAGGAAGATCCAGCCTTGCCTTAACCCACAGGCAGCATCTGCTCTTTCTTCTTCTAAAACCCAGTGGCTGAGGTTCCCTCGGATTAATCCGATCACTGCTCTTGAAAATATTTTCAGCTGCAGGATATTTTCCTAAAGTAACTTCTTACATAGAACCTTAATATTTAAATGAAAGCAGAATTTTATTGGTTCCAGTGTTATTTATTTATTTTTGGTACTGGGGATCAAACTCAGGACCTTGCACTTGCCAGGCAGGCAATTATGCCAACGAGCTGTCTCCCTGGCCCAGTTCCAGTGTGACTTAAACCTCACATTTATAACTTTTTGTTTGTTTGCTTTTTATTTTTATATTTATTTTGAGACAGGATCTTACTATGTAGCCCAGGCTGGCCTTGACCTCATGATCCTCCTACTTCAGCCTCCCGAGAAGGGAATTTGGTGTGCTCCACCAGGTTATTGCGCCACCAGGCAGTGACATGTTTTATGAAACCTCTCCTGGGACCGCTAGGGCGTCTGAATGGTGACAGGCTTTGGGAAGTGGTGTTGGGTTAATTCCTCATTGATAATAATTGAGTAAGCATTGGTAGGAAGTCTACAGTGGGACCCAGGCTTGGTGACACAGGCTGTACACCCTAATGGTGCAGCAGGCCCCTGTGAAATGCCACTAGGATGCCCAGAGGGAAGAGCTGAGCCCACTGGTGCCCCCAGCCCTCTGGGTGAGGTTGGGCAAGGGCACTGAGTCCCAGGACCTAAGCAGGGCATCCTTAGGGGCCACTTAGGCTTATTTATTTATTTTTTCATAAATACAATAATCCCTTCCTCCAAAGAGACCTTAACAGAGTGCCAGGATGTCAAAGCAAATTTGGGTAAATCAGGAGGTTGTAGGATAGGTGATGTGGTGACAATCATCAAGGACTTTGATCAGTAGAGGTCACCTCCTGGGGACATGGGATGCAGTGTCCTGCTGGCTGGGCTGGGGCTCAGGAGAGGACAGAGCTGGAGGAACAGAGGACAGGGGAGATGAAGGCTGGGAGGGATGACACGTGAGCAGGCAGGTGTCTGGCAGGGAACAAGGGGGTTCCCAAGGACATTCTTCCCCATTCAGGTAGTGTGTGTGTGGGGGGAGATCTGCTTGTACGAAGACCTACTTCTGGTGCACCCAGCATTCAGACCCACCTGGCATCCTGCCTCTTCCCTGGCACCCCTCTTTCTCATCTCTCCTTCCCGGCCCCAGTCCATTCCTTGCCCCAGGGTCCTGGATGAGCCTGTTCCAGCCTGTTGAGTAGCTCTGGGTTCTGACCTGGTGGTGGAATGTGTACAGTCAGACTGTGGGGGACTGGGCAGCAGTCCTGAGCTGCAGAGACTTTTAGGGGGTCTGTGGCATCCCTGAAGTTCTGTTCTACTGCTGGGAACTGCCTCAACTTTCTGGTTTCTAGTCCCCTCTTGGTTCTAGCAGCAGCTTGGTCTGGGGCCCCAAGTCTCTTTCTGTAGAGAGAGCTCAGCCAAGCCTCCGACAGATGTTGGCAGACGGCTCTTTTGCCTTTGCCAGGGACTCCCAAGACCTTGGGTGCATTTGCTCCCCCCCATACCCCAGAAAGAAACTTGAGCCTAGTTCCATCAGGGGACACAGTACAAGGCCTGACATAGCCTCTTCACTGGGGTATGAAGTTTTTTTTAGGACTATCCTTCAGAGAACTCCTATTATTATCAATACCCATTTTACAGGCAGGGAAACTGAGTCTGAGGATGCAGTGATTTGTCGAAGACCACAGAGAGCGTCAGGTGCCAAGGAAGATGAAAAACCACTCTACTGAATGCAGTAGCAGTGCCTTGTGTTATGGGGGGCTGCATCAGAGGCCCATTAGCCCTGGGCTCTGAGCCTCAGTTTCCCCATCTGGAAGATGGGATGAATAGCCTGAGCTCTGACACTGCTGGACCTGGGCCGAGCGTGGACTGTGATTGAAAGCTGGTAGGAAAAAGAGGTCAGTGCCTGTGAGGGGCTTTGCCGTGCTGAGCCCTCAGAGCAGGACGAAGGTGCCCAGAACCCTGCTTTCTCACAGGAGGTGGGGACAGTGACAGCTTCACCTCTGTTTTCTCTCTGTTCCATACATGGATCAGACTTTTATGGGCGCCTTTTAAAAAATGATTGTTGCTATCAATGACAGAAAAGTACTTTGCATGTGAACTTTTTTTTTCTTTTCTGGTACTGGGCTTCAAACTTAGGACCTTATGCTTGCCAGGCAGGTGCTTATGCCACTGAGCTATCTTCCTGGCCCTGGAAAGGTACTTCGGGACAGCTCTTTTCTCAACCCTAAAGTGCACAGACTATCAACGAGAGCTAGGAGTTATGGAGCGCGGACATTTGAGGACCCCAGAGCGCCCCGGGTCAGGGAGGACTCAGCGTTCCTTGTCCTCCCCTGCCCTCTGCTCAGAGCTGGGCTCCAGCCGACCCACCATGCAGTTGGGGTGTGAGGAGCCTGGGTGGGGAGCCCACCCCCCCACGCTCAAGTCCCGTCTACTCAGAGGGTGCCCTGTGGCATGGGCGGATGAAAGGCTCATGGCTGTTCAGGATAGTGGGGGATCATGGCCAGGCCGGATGGGACTTTGTGCCTGCTGGAAGGACCGAAAGGGTTGCACCAGACAACACTGGAAGGAAAATAAAGACAAACCTGAACATGATGTCGGCATCTAAGGCAGCTCTTCTTGGGCCAAATATAGTTAAACATTTGGGGCTTGTTTTCCATTTGACATTTTTTTTTTTTTTTTTTGTCTTTGCATAAGGGCAGCTATTTATCCAAGTCCCTAGAGCAGGCTGGGGAACGAGGCCCTGTCTGTGATTCATGCTGGATGCGAGGGGCCCTGGCGAGCATCCAGGATGGCCTGGCTGCCAGCTGCACTCGGGGGGGTGTACCTTCAACCAGGGCAGGGGTGGCATCTCACAGGGGCTGCTGCTGGGGGTAACATGCCCCAGGGGGTGCCCAGGGGAGGGTGTGAATCTGTGCCCGGGTCACAGGGAAGACTGGGGGTGGGGCCACTCCTTGGTAGTGTGGCAGTGGTGCCTTATTTACGTGCCTGAATGCTGACCTCTAGCCACTTTCTGAAGTTTGAGGTCATAAGAAATGGAAAAAAAAAACAAAACCTTGTAAAATCCAAAGAAGTTCAGTTCATGGTGGAGTACCAAGGTCGCTGTCTCAGTCTGGTAATTGTGTTTGGGTTATATAAGGAGTTAGTATTGGGGGCAGCGTAGGGGAATGTGCTCAGGAACACTGCGCTGTTCGGCAACTCAAGAATCTGAAATGGTTTCAAAGGAAAAAAAAAAAAAATCCGCGAGGAGCGGGAGCCTGCCCTGGCTGCTTCAGCACTCCCCAGCACCCAGCCCTTTCCAGGTGGTACCGGGCCCTGGGCCCGTCCAGCCCCGTATAGCCCGGGACGTGGGCTGCCAGGCGCAGGCCAGGAATACGCACTTAGCACAGCACTCAGCACACGGGAAAGGAACAGGCTTGGAGACTGCTGGCCACTGTCCCTCCTTCGTGCCCACTTTCCGATGATTTCAGATTCCCCTGAGATCTGAGCTCGATCTGAGCCTTGTCCCCAAGGACATGGCTAGAAAGTAGCCAAAGTTGGCTTTGGTTCCCCATCCGCAGTTTAAAACTTTTCTGCCATCACACAGACTAGGATTATTTGTAAAGCCCTCTTGGTGCTTCTCCTTGGGGCCCGACCTCCCTCCATCCAAGATGTCATGTGCTTCTCTCTTCCCTCCTCCCCACTCCCACCGGGGCAGGCGTTGTGTTTGGAGTCTCCCGTGCGCCGTGTCCTGGTATTGGACAGGCTTGCAGTTTGGGGAGGAAGGGCTGGCGGTGTCATTCCTGAGTCTTTGCTGCTGGCTAGCCAGGTCTCTGGACCGCCACTGTGCCCTGCTGGCCCATGCTGCAGGGTGTGATGCTGTGGCCTGGGATGCTTTGAGCCCTGTAGGTAAAGCAGTGTTTCTTGGGCGGGAGTCCTCCCGCATCCATGCTCAGCTGAGTGGCCCACCTTGCCCGACCTGACTGATCCTCTGTGTTGCAGAGGACACCTACAGCTCGGAGGAGACTGTGGACCACCAGCCTGTCCACCTGAGGGTCATGGACACTGCAGACCTGGTAACCACCCCGCTTCCCTTTGGAGGGCAGAGAATTTGGGTCCCTTTGAAGGAATCCAAAATGAAGCAGTGATTTCCCTGAGCCTGGATCTACCATCTGCCAAATGAGGATGGGATGGGGGCTGGGCCAGTTGCCAGTGGCAGCTCCGGACCCGGTGCCATGGGGCTATTCGCTCATGCACACACACAGACAGGTGTTCCTGGTGAGAGCCCTGTGGTTATCCCCCTGGCCCTTCCTGCCTCCCTTGCCAAGGCCAGATGCCAGCTATTCTCAGAAGCCAAGAGGGCAGCATGAACTTGACCCGAAACCAGCAGTGTCCAGACAGCAGGTCCCTGGAGGGGCTGTACCAGGTCCTTGGCCCTATGCCCACACAGCCAAGGTCTCCAAGTCTCTGGTTGGGTGGTGGGAGGGGGTCACGGGACAATGTCTCCTTTCACACCAAGCCAAGTCCCAGCTCAAGTGCTCCTTTGAAAAGGGCTCGGGTGGGGAACAATATACAGAGACCCGGCGTGGGCAAGCAGGAGGGATGGCTCAGGTGAAGGTCTCTGTCCCAAGGCCGTGACCTCGTGTGCCCTCCCATGCCCCCCTTGGGGGGCTTCTCCCCTCACTGCAGGACACCCCCAGGAACTGTGAACGCTACCTGAACTGGGCCCACGCCTTCCTGGTGGTGTACAGCGTGGACAGCCGCCAGAGCTTCGAGGGCAGCAGCAGCTACCTGGAGCTACTCGCCCTGCATGCCAAGGAGACGCAGCGTGGCTACCCAGCCCTGCTGCTGGGCAACAAGCTGGACATGGCCCAGTACAGGTGAGTGTGGTGAGCGCCTGCGAGGACAGTCATGCCTGAGGAAAGGTGTTGAAGGCATAAGGTAAGTCTAGGCTTCCCAGCAGCCAGCGACCAGGAAGGTGAGGCTGGACCCCAAATCTCAGAACTGAAGCTACTCCTTCCGTTCTCATGGGCTTCAGTGGTTTCTCTCAGCCTCGCCTTTCTTGCCTGAGCCAGTGTGACCTTCTGGTCCCACCCCAGTGGCTAAATGATTCCGGGCCCAGTTCCATTCCTGGGTCAGGCTGTGAGGGGCCCTTGGGTCAGGTGGCTGCTCTGGTTCAGCCAACTCTGCCCCACCCGGTGTGGCCCCCGGCACACAGGCAGCTCGTCTTCGACAGGCTGGACTGGGCCAGAGGGTGGATGACCACAGAGTCGGCAGCCGTATTTTGCTTGGCCAGCGCGGTGCTTGACAAGACAGGAGCTGGAATGTTTTGGGGTGGGGCCTGCTCCCGCCCCATGGCCACCGCCTAGCTGTTCCCCAGGTTCCTCTCCAACTTCTGCTGGCCCAGAGGCAGTTGAGACTGGGATGCCACACTAGATGAGTAATCCCACCGGAGTCTCCCTGGCAGTCACTGTTCTGTCCCCCAGCTACCTACCCAGCCCCCCTCATGGGCTACCCACTCCCTCTCAGGCCCTAGAGCCCCTGGGAACTGGTATTAGCAGAGAGGGGACCTGTTGCCTAGAACAGGTTGGGTAGGCAGTGGGAGAGGGGAGTTGGCTTCCTGCAGGGGACCTCAGTCAGGCCCATAAGAATGGCATGTCAAAGCAAGGGGAGTTTGGGGGTGGGGGGTGGGGGTTGGGCCTGCATGAGGGCCTCCAAGTACCTGACTGAGTAGGCCTGTTTTCGGTATGGGGAAACAACCTGCAGATCACCGTGCATTGCCAAAGGGAGGGTCTCCAAACGGTGCGGAGCCGCTGACTGAGAACACAGGTGGAGTGAGGCAGCGTTGGCTCCCTGAGGATGTCATGCTGGTACACACACACACACACACACAGACACACACACACAGAGGTGGGGTCCCCCCGGCCTTAGCGGTTCGGGATCCTCAAGGCCCACTGGATGCTTTAGCAGCTGCCCCAAGGTCAGCATCCCCCACGAGTGTCTTGCAAGCTACAAGGTGGGGATGGGGTTGGGACAGTGGTCCCCGAGCCTGGTAAGTTCAGCAGGCTGCAACAGAGTAGGAAAAAGGACAGGACCTGTCGGCCCTCACCCACAGCTGTGAGTCTGTGAGAACCCATAAGTCACTTCCTGTGAGGACAGAGTGCCAGTTCAAGCTTGTGAGGAAGGCAGAGCCTGAGAGTTCTCTTTCCAGAAGGTTCCTCAAGGGGTGGAAGGCGCAGACCACACACAGCCCTGGGGGAGGGTGTTAGGTGTGCTGCTGCCGACTGCTGTGTTCCAGTTGCCTCCTCCCTGTCGCCCTGCCACTGGTGAGCAGGACCCGTCCCCACCAAGGCCCACTCTAGGGCCTTCTTTTTTTTGGTACACGGGATCAAATTCAGGACCTTGCACTTACCAGGAAGGTGAATATACTGCTGAGCTGTATCCCTAGCCTGGCATGGGTAGGTGTTTTTTGGGGGTGGGTACTGGGAATCAAATTTAGGACCCTGTGCCTGCCAGGCAAGTGCTGTGCCACTGAGCTATATTCCTGGCCCCACCCTCAGGCTTTCTTTCTTTCTTTCTTTCTTTTTCTTTTTTTTTTTTTTTAATCCTGCCTCAGGTTTATTTGTACAAAGAGCACAGGAGGACACCAGCCCCCACAGATGACACCCCAGGGGTCACAGCAGTCTTTCTGTTTTTACATCAGCAGATAAGAGGCTTTTACTGTGGAGCCTTCACAGGGGTCTGGGCACCTTTGGGAGCCTGGGCTGGAGCAGAAGCTGGAGCCTGGGCCTTGGCTGGAGCCTGGGCCTTTGGCTGGCAAGGCCTGCGACCCTTGGCAATGTGGGCATGGATACGCTTCCCAAGCTTGGGGTGGGCGATATAGGCAAGTTGAGTGAGCCTGCGGTTTACTCCCTTTGGAATGATCTTGGGCTTGATCTCCCTGGGCTTGACGAGGGCCTTGATGGCCCTGGCGCGTGCACTCATGGCCTTGGTATTGTTTGCTTGTATCTTCCTAAAGCCCTTCTTGTGGTGCTACTTGACAAAATGCATGTTCCTGAGGAACTTAGGATCTACCTCCTTCAGAGATTCGTATCTTTGTGAGTGAGGTTTCTTGATGCCATTTCTGTGCTATTTTCAGGACTAGTTGTACGTGGTGTGGTTCTTGGACTTGGCCATAACTGCACTGTAAACTGCAGCTGCCAAGCACCTGGAGCTGCCACCTTAGGATCTTCTGTCACCTCTTGTGCTGTGCCACTGTCCCTGGGAACGATGGGTAGGGCAGCCCAGTATCTTTGGTTTTGACCCCCAGACCTCTTCCATCCCAAGAGCCATCCAGTCTGCTCTTTCCCCTGTTCTCCATTCCAAAGCATTCAGGTCAGAAGCTTCCAGAACCTTCTTAACCTCAGATGATCCATCCTGTCATCACAGGAAGTGGCAGAGAACCAGGCAGGGAAAGACACTGGCACCTCTCTTTGTGTCCCTCTGCTCATGTGAAATGTCACCACATCCTCCCTGGGCAGGAAAGCAGACACACCCATTAGTCTTGAGAGCTGTACCTGCCATAGGCTTTCAGAGTCACCTCTGTGGTCCATTCAGTTGCCTTTCGAAAGCCAGGGTGATGGTGGCTCATTTCCTGATCGAGGGCCCTGTGCTGTGGCAGAGTAAGGAGACTGGGAATGGGTTTCCTTTAGTCGTAGGCAGGTCTATCTGGGGCACTTTGGCCTGTTCCCCCACCCAACCTTCATCCTCAGTTTATCAGCCATTGTGTATCAGGGCACTGACCTGAACCAGGTACTGTGCTAAGCACTCAGTACCACTTGTATTTCTTCTTCTTCTTCTTTTTTTTTTTTTTTTTTTTGGCAGAACTGGGGATTGAACTCAGGTCCTTGCACTTGCCAGAGAAGCGCTTATTCCACTGAGCCATCTCCCCGGCCAATAACCACTTGTATTTCTTTTGATACTGGGAATCAAACTCACGACCTCACGTGTGGCCAGCAGGTGCTGTGCCACTGAGCTATATCCCCAGCCCTAACCACTACTTATATTTCTTATTTTATTTTTTTAACCACTTGTATTTCTTAATCCTGGCAATCCTGAGAAGCTGAATTCCCCATCCCATTGTGTTGATGAGAAAAAACGAGCTGGGGTGGGGATTGGGATGAAGATGCAGGCAGCCCCAGCCGGGTGAGGAGTGGGGCAGGACCCTCCACGCCTGCCTGTGCGCCTTCCTCCCTCACTGCCCCCGCTTCCTCCTGCCAGGCAGGTGACCAAGGCCGAGGGCGCAGCTCTGGCGGGCCGGTTCGGGTGCCTGTTCTTCGAGGTCTCCGCCTGCCTGGACTTTGCGCATGTGCAGCATGTGTTCCACGAGGCCGTGCGAGAGGCTCGGCGGGAGCTGGAGAGGAGCCCCCTGGCCCGGCCCCTCTTCATCTCGGAAGACAGGGCCCCGGGCCACCCTGTGCCACTCACCGCCCGGCCGGGGTTGGCCAGCTGCACTTTCAACACCCTGTCCACTGTCAGCCTGAAGGAGATGCCGGCCGTGGCCCAGGCCAAGCTGGTCACCGTGAAGTCATCCCGTGCCCAGAGCAAGCGCAAGGCGCCCACCCTCACCCTCCTGAAGGGCTTCAAGATCTTCTGAGGCCCCTTCCTGGCAGCCCAGGTTGGCCACTGGGGCAGCTGCAGGTTTTAGGGGCTGGCTTTCAATGCCAGCCCTTCCCACCAGTGGACCAGCGGCCCCCTCCTGCAGCACCCAGCGGCGTCCCCACCCTGTCAGCCAAAGCCACTGCGTGGGGTGCTGTACTGTTGTTCCTGGCAGGCCTTGGTCTCTGTGGTAACCACTGCATCTAGGACCTGGAGGGAAACAGCCATTGCCGCAGCCCAGAGACCTGGGGCCTGCAGTAGTAGGGACAAGCTGTGGCGTCCGCTCTGCTGCGGTGACCTGTTCTGCTGCAGCTCTAGCCAGGCTAGCTGCGTCGTGTAGTGGATGGACAGCTCCCAGAGGTCGACGGGAGAGACGGCCCGGGGTCCTGGCGCCACCTGGTGGGAGGCAGCGGCAGCACAGCTGCCTAGAAGTTGAAGCTCGGCGGTTTTGTCTTCTGACTGCGCCGGAAACCAGGGCAGCAACCCCCTTTGATGCATGAAAGATCTGCTTAAGTTAATTATACAAGAAAGCTGGACAGGACAAGGGGCTCCAGGTGGGAGTGTTCCCAGCGCTTTGCCTTTCGGAGAGGGGAGAAGGGCACCTCCAGGGGGCTTTCACCATGGTTTAGGGTCTTCTCCACACTTTGCTAAGGACTCCATTTGCACACTCTCATGACCAGGCTCCTCAAGTCTAATGATCGAGGATGCAGAACACAGTGTACTCCCTACTGATGGTTCCAGGGCCCAAGACAGCCTACAGAAGGCAGGTCAAGTGCTACCTGGTGGCCGCCAACTGCGCGCTCGCTCACAGAAACTGCCTAAAGTTTATAGTGTAGTTTGGCAGGACCCACAACCTTCAGATCTGAGCTTTCCAAGCCCACTTTCTTTCCTTTTTCCAGCACTGGGGATTGAACCCAGGGCTACATCCTCACAGTGATCTCAGATCTTTTATTTTTTATTTTGGGATACTCTGCTAGATTGTCTGGGCTGGACTTAAACTTGGGATTCTCCTGCCTTGTCCTCCCGGAATGCTGAAACTACAGGTGTGCATCACTGTGTCCAGGTCAAAGCCTACCTTTGTGAGACAGAACCTGAAAGATGTTGGGCTACTAGAGCCAATTTTTGCCTGAGTTCTGTGGTGTTGCCACTTCCTAGCTTATGCCACAACATCATGGCTCAGACGTGGGCTCAGGCTCCTCCCTGCAGTCCCCATTGGTAGCAGGAGAAGGCTTCAGAGGCAGGGGTACAGGTGTCTTCCAGCCATGTTGTACCACGAACCCCTCAGTACTTACGCAGGAGTGGGAGGGGGCTCTGGCTCCCAGAAGGGCTGGGAAGGGATTCTGACTCCAGAATTTTGCTTCCTTCCATCTCAGTGCCCAATTCCAGGAGCTGGGACTCAAAATACCTCTCACCCAGCCTTCAGCCTCAATTCTATTGAGGGAGAAGCTGAGGCCAGAGGGAGACTGGGAGTCCCTCCGAACCACGTGCTGAGGGTCCCGCCAGGCTTCCTGAGCCCTAGGCTGCTAGGGAGTTTGCACTTTGCTTCAGGCCACTTATGTGTGTGCGTGTGCCACCTTTTGAACAAACTGTGCAATTACCCACTTCCAGAAGCATTTAAATAAAAGATTTTTTAAAATAATGGAAGCTTTATTTGATTGCAGTTCATTCACCATGTCTGCTGGTAAAAGCAGGCTGCCTGGGGGAGGCAAGCCCCGGTGCCTGGCTTGCGTGGCATCCGTGCTAGCTGGAGGTTTCCGATGGGATCGGAAGGAGAACTACTGGATCATCCCGTTCCTTTGATTCAGTCCCCAGCATGGTCAGGGCTGGCTTTTCTGTGAGCAGAGTCTCTTTTAGGTTGTTCAGGCTGTTGTTGCTTCCGGTTTTGGCCTCGTTCAGCTGTAGGATTTCAGGTGTTTCCTTTTCTTGTGGCTGCAGCTTTCGATTTCTAGGGGAACAGGAACGCTCACTGGTGATACCGTGGGGCAGGAGAGGTCTGGCTCTCCCCAGTGGGTTGGAAGGTTTGAGGGGGTCTTGTGCTGTCTGGGAGCCGCTAGGGTGAGAAGTGGGGGAGTTCACGCCCCTGCCACAGAACAACGGTTGACATGTACACGGGGAAGGTTTCACAGATCTCACAGCCACCTGTGAACTCGACATTTATGGTCACACTTTGCCCTCAGATATGGAAATGGGGTTTAAGGAGCCTGGAGAAATCAGGCTGGGTGGTGTAGGCCTGTAATTCTGGGAGGCTGAGGCAGGAGGACAAGTCCTGGGCAATTTATTAAGACTTTGTCTCAAAATGAAAACTAAAATAAGGATGCGGGGTATAGCTCACCGCAAAGGCTGTAGGTTAAGTCCTCAGTTTCCCCAGTCTTATCCCCACCGGAAGGCCTGTGTTCTTTGGACCAACCATACAGCCCCCTAGGGCTGTCATCCGACTAAGTACAGGTCCTTGTCCCCCAGCTGCTGCAGGAAAATCCTTGCCTGCTCCCAGCTCCGCTCTAGCCTCCCACCCCACCAGCCACCCCTGCGCCCCTTCACAGACCCCCATCATCCCTTTCCTCAGCCTGCTCTTCCTTTCCGAAACTCCCCCCATCCATCTTCTCTCCAGATTGGTTGTCTTCAAGGTGGTCTGGATTTCCTGGCCACAGTGGCTGAGTGACAGCCTTCCGCCGCCATGGGCCACAAGGCCAGTGTCTGCTGCTTTAAGGACAGCACCTTGCCTCTGAGTGCACCTTGATGCGAGGCTTCCTGACAGGTGGGGGCAAAGCTGCCTTCTTCTTTTTTTAAAATTTGTTTTATTTTTTTAAATTTTATTTGTGTGTGTGTGTGTGTGTGTGTGTGGCCAGCTCAGTCCACTAGGGGGCGGGGCTGGCTGGCACGTGGTGCTGGGGGATTGAACCGCGGTCCCTGTGCTTTGCTAAGCTTAGTTTGTTCTAAGTAGGTGCTTTAGACCACTGAACCATCTCACCAGCCCCCAAAGCTGCCTTCTGCTTTTTCTTTTCCTTTTCTTTTCTTTCTTTCTTTCTTTCTTTCTTTTTTTTTTTTAACTCCCAGGACTGGGAGTGGAACCCAGGGCCTTCACACTGAGCTATGTCCCCAACCATTCTTATTTTTTGAGACACATTTCACTAAGTTGTTCAGGCTGGGCTCAAATTTGTGATAGTCCTGCCTCAGCCTCTCAGAGTGCTGGAGTTACAGGCCGGTGCCACCCTGAGAGCTTCAGAGCCACCTTCTCAATGGCTGCACTCCTCCGGGTCATGCCTGCTTGTCCCAGAGCCAGTTGCCGTTTTAAAAAGAGCTTTGGGTTCTCAAAGGTGCCAGAAGACTGCATTTGCTGTCCCAAGGGCAGTGCCCTCCCTAGATTTCCCTCTGGGTAGGCAGGGCCGCTCCCCTCCACACACCCCCAGACCAGCTCCTCACCTGTTGGCCTGGATGCTCCTGACCAGGAGGAACAAGCTGAAGGTGACCACCACGACTGTCAGTGCAAGGACGGAGTAATTCCAAGCAGATGCTGAGGAGGGACATAGGGCAGGGTGCTAAGGATGGGCCCAGCACCCCTCTGCCCCCCACGAGCCAGCCAGGCCTGGGGCTCAGACCCAGCCCCAGCAGTGGCTGTACACTGCTGTGCATAGCAGCTCCAGCTCTGGGAACTTTTCAGGGGAGATATAAGGTGCTTTGAGGGAGGTGGCACTGGGGCCAGATAACAGTGAAACAGCAGGGCCGTGGGTGCCCTGAGGTGGATTTTGCAGTCAGCAGTCTGACCTCCCTGTGCAGTGCAAGGAAGAGAAAGGAGGTGGGGAGGAGGGCAGGGAGGAGTGACCGACTGGATCCAGGAGCTGTGGGCAGCTAAAAGGGAAAGTGGCTGATGGGAAGGGGAACCCCGCAAGGCAGGCTCCAGCCCGGGGCTTTTCACTCCTGTTCTCCCCCACATCTGAGGCCAAGTCTTTATTAGTGTCCTCTTGTAACAGGGCCCTCCTTGGCCTCCCTGCTGCACACTTGGGGTCTCTTCTGATGCTAGGGTGACAGTACCGGATAAAACCCAAACACCTCCCCCTCAAGGGGCGCAGGTCTGGTGGGACAGAAAGTAAACAAGGTAAATGACAACCATGCATGGTGCAGAGGTGACATGAAATAAGACTACATGGAGAAGCACATAGTAGGAGCTTGCTCAATGCAGCCGGACAACTGGGCGACCCAGTGAGAGGCCGCAGCCCACAGCAGGAAGGTGCAATGCAGCTCCGGCCTGATTGGCAGGAATGGGCCAGCAGACAGGGGTGCAGACTACAAGAGAGTTCTAGCCAAATCCTGTTCTTTCCAGCCAAATCCTCCCCTCACCCGTGCCACCCCACCTTTGCCACCTGTCTCTTGCCACTTACCGTCTTCTACGCGGAAAAACCAAATCATTTCTTCCAGCAGCTCCTGGGGCACCGCAGTGCCAGCTGGGGCTCCAATGGCCTCCTCATTCTGATCCATGACCCTGATCCTCAGGTCCCCTGGTCTCAGCTGCTTCGCTGGCCCCCTAGGTGCTGGCACCAGCTGCCTAGGTGCCCTGGGTGGATGAGTCCGAAAGACCCCTGGAAACAAAGCAGAGAGCATCACTGGACATTGCTGCCCAGGCTGACCTTCCCTCCATGCCCAAAGCCAGCTTGCCAGGGTTTCAGGATCAAAACAGACTGAACACGGGAGCAGACGGGGTGCCTAGAGGTGGGAGTGACTAGAATCCCTTAGCAAAACTCAGCCCCACACATATGTGGGGGAGAAGCGCCGATCTGGCGTGAAGAGGATGAAGCCAGTCACCAGTCCAAGGCTGTGGGACCCTTGTAGGGGACACCCTACCTCTACCCACCCCACCCCATGCTTCGAGGCTGGAGGAGCCACCAGAGGGCTTTTACATGAGTGTGTGACAAGGCTGGGCCTATCACGGGCTCAGTTTTGGTGATTTGCACACCTGAGACCCAGAGCTGGGAAGAGAGAGGGGAGTCAGAAGGGGCAAGTGCAGCAGGGTGGTGAGCGCTGCCCAAGTGATCAGAGAAGGCCCATCCTGCTCCTTGGATAAGTGTCTTCATTTGAATCTGATTGTGTCAGTGCAAAACAAAGCAACTTGAGTTGTGTTGGCCAGACCTCAAATGGCCTTGAAATTGGGCCTATTTTATGCGTTGTCCTTCCGTTACTACTTAACTAAAAATTGCTAGTATCCATATAGAAAGAAACAGTAACCAGGCGTGGTGGCACATACTTGTAATCCCAGCACTCGCAGGCAGAGGCGGGAAGATCACCTCAAGTTCAAGGCCAGCCTGAACTACATAGCAAGACCTTGTCTAAAAAAAAAAAAAAAAAAAAGTGAGGTAGCTTTGACAACGTAAGTCATTGAAGCCAACATTTCCAAAATATCATTTTAGCGTGTGTGAAGCTTCACATGTTTTGGTTCCAAGTCTTTGAACTTGAATGTAAATTGGATACTTTAGGAGCTATCCCAACTTCTACTAGTCACACTCCAAGTATGACTCCCAGCTCTGTAGCCACATGTCGCTGGCTAGTGGCAATTTACTGGACAGCTCCAGGTTTTGGCAGCTGGTCCTCCGATCTGGTCCCTCGGCCCCTAGCCAGCAACTGCTCCCTGCTGCCTTTGCCCCTGGGTATCTGCGCCTCCCCTGGGATTGCCAGGGTCCCCGGAAGAACAAAAGAAGACGTAAAGACAGAGGAAGAATTGCCAGTCTTATGGAAAACCTACTACTGTTATGGACTACTGGACTATATTGGAATATTTTGCTGAATTCATGTACCTACAATATTTAAATGACAATGGAATACTCTTCTCTAACAAAACTAAACAAAAAAGGGAGATACAAATGAATGACCATTTTGTATCTGTATATTCAAAATAGTTAGGATAGACATACAGCTTCTCTTAATTCAGTGAATGGAGAGAGTTGTTCTAATAGTGTTTGTGGACAGGATACCATGTCTGCATCTTGTACAATGAACAACCACGAAGACAACAATATGCAATGTATTAATTATTGAAACTGCTAGTAATCAGTTTTGAAACTGTCTCATTGCTATTTGTTTCTCAAAATTATTTTTAAAAAAAGATAGAAGGGGGGCCGGGGAGATGGCTCAGTAGAATAAGCGCTTGCCTGGCAAGCACAAGGGTCTGAGTTCAATCTCCGGTTCTGCCAAAAAAAAAGAGGAAGAAATCAGCAAGGTGATGCTTCCCTGGCAAGCACAAGGGCCTGAGTTCAATCCCCGGTTCCACCAAAAAAAAAAAAAAAAAAAAAAAATCAGCAAGGTGAAAGGGGAAAGTAGAGAACAGGAACAAGCCCTAGCTTTTGAGCTAGGGTTTTGTTTTGTTTTTCTGGGCTGGAGGGTTAACCCAAGGCCTTCTTCAGGATGAGCTAGAGCCTCAGCTCTTTTTATTTTGAGACAGGATCTCAAAAAGTTGCTGAGTTGTCAGTTATCTTCATATCGGCCACGTTCACTGTGATCCCAATCAACATGGAGTTTTTGAGACCCTTGATTCACTTATTCTAAGTTATGCAGAGAAATAAATATTTGCAATGAGTCAAGTCAACCTTGTAGGTAAAGACAGTAGCTATACAAATACAGTTCTGGCACACAAGATGTTTTTGTTTTTGTCTTTTTGAGACAAGGTCTCGCTCTGCCATTCAGGCTGGCCTTGAGCTCACTGTGTAGTCCAGACTGGTCTCAAACTTGCAGTGATCCTCCTGCCTCAGCCTCCTCAGTCCTGGGATTGTGGGTGTGTGTCACCACACCCGGCCTACAAGATGCACTTCTGATGAAAGACCCCTAGATGGAAAGATCGGAGTAGAAATTAGTCTTTGTGCACATGGGAACTTGACACACAGTAAAGGCAGCTCTGTGATTAGTAGTGACAGAAGGAATTGGCTACGAGGCAGGGTGGAGAAGAACAATGCCGTTGTGAAAATTCAAAACGTATGCACAGGGAGAGAAGAGTGGCTCACTACATGGACAAAAGTAAGCATGGACGCACATCTCACAGTGCCCAGGGGGAAAGCCTCCTTCTCAATGTCAGAGGAAAATCTGAGGCTAGCAGAAGGGAGTAGGCTGTCCTAAGAAAAACCACGCAAGTGCAGATCATTCAGTGAAAATGGCAGGAAAAACCAGAAAACTTTACTAATGTGCATAAAATAAGGCTGCCTGTTCTTGACTAAATCACTAACACATTTTCAGTTGGGATTAGATGGTCATCGTGCTTAAAATCAAGGTGGGATGGAAAGCCAGACTATCTGGGAGTTCTTGCAAGTCCGTGAAGAAGCGCAGGCCCCAACAGATGAAAGACTTAGAGTACTCGTGGGATGGTCACAAAGAAGCCTAAAGGCTGGCGAGCGTATGACACCTCATGGTGAGCCGAAGAACGAAAGGTGAGACTGGAAGGAGCTGCCGCCTGGCATCTGTTAGAGATGGGCATAGTGCAAAAGCGGGATGATGAGACCCGTCAGGGCCTCTGTAACCTTGGACTCACCCAGGGGGCAGAGGCGGGGCAGCCACCTAACCAACAAGTGATTCCAGTCAGCGGAACACACCCCATGACACAGCAGCCCTCAGCTGAGAACACGTAATAGAGAAAGTAGCCTAGAGGAGGCAGACCATGCCATTGTGAAAATTCAAGATGTATGCACAGAAATGACAGGCCGTATCCCCAGGCCTGCCATGCGGGCCCACCCCCGGGGCACACTGAGATGGCGATTGAGACTGGGCGTGTGGCACGCGCCTGTAGTCTCAGCTTTCGAGGTCCCAGTAACGTCCTACCTACTTCCCCATGTGGGTGGATATAATAGGATGCCTAAGAGATGGAGTCTATATTCCTGCTCCGACTGACTGTTGAGACCGTCGTCTCAATAAGAAGGCTGGGACATCCTGTTGAGTTGCAGCTCCTGGATTAATTAGTAACACACTCTAGAAATGCCCTCTGAAAGTAGAGCCATCCTGCCTGGATTAATTAGTAACACGGCCATAGGCCCCGTCCGGTGTGCACACCGCCAGCCTGCACGCCTGTGCACCGCCACGCGGTGTGCCTCATGTCTGCTTCTGTGTTGTACGGGTTTCTTGTGTGTATGCACCACATTCATGCAGACAACATGTGTGTGTGTGTGTGTGTTTCCCCCATTTTGTCACTGCTGGGAATCGAACCCGGGGCCTCACACACTCTAGCCAAGTGCTCTACCACTGAGCTGCCCAGCCAACCGATCCGATTTTCAGGATATATATTTTGTCCATGTTTGTGCATACATTGTGTACCTTTTGAGACAACATCCCAAATTTTAGGCATCTTATGAATAGAACTAATTGGAAAGGTATACCAAGATGCACAGCTCAGCGTCTAGGACTTGCCTAGCATGCATGGGGCCCTGGCTTGGTCCCTAGAGCCACAAAAAAAGTGTCCAATACGTATAATAATGCTACAATAAACACCTATCATGAAGCACAAAGCAAAAGGCCAGGATGGCTGCAAACCCAAGCCCTTCCCAGCTGTTAAGTAAAAGATACAAGCGAGGGTTGTACCTTTGTCTGAGTACTTAGCCAATTTACTTCTAGAGAGAGCATTACTTTATCATCCTTTAACCATTAAACTAAACTCTATGCCTCTTTGGGTTTCATTAGTTTCCCCATTAATGTCCTTTCCCCACTCCAGGGTTCCATCCAGACCACGCTGTATGGCATTCAGCCGCCCTAACTCCTCCAGACAATCCCTACATGAGACAGAGCTACCGGCTGTGACCCCTGCCCAGCCCAGGCCACTGTCCGGGGGCAGGGAGAGAGTGCTCACCTGATCCTTCGCGCTGGGCCTCGAGCTGCTGTCCTGCGCAGAGCTGATTTCCGTCACTCTCCTCCCGTCTTCTCTGGAGCCCAGGCCCCCAGTCTTTGTTCCTGACCTCTCTCCAGGAAAGTGCAGCTGCACCCCAAGGCGCAGTGTCTGCGGAGTCCGTGGCAGCTGAGCCCGTAGAGTGGCTCTGCCCTCAGCACACGCCCCGGCCTACGCCTTCTCCACCATGGTGGGTCACTGTCCTCTTGAACCATGGCTCAAGTGGCAGTCAGGCTCCGCCTGACCTTCCGGATCTGAAGTCACCATCGTTGTAGAGCATCCGCCCTGTGCCTCTATTTCTTAAGTATCATCAATATTTAACCACGGAGCAGGGAGTCAAGGCTGGAATTTTATAACCGGTGCTTTTGGTAGTGAAGGTTCAGGCACCGTGTGAATTCCCCAAAGAGCTGTAAAACAACTCGGGAGGGCAGGGCTGAGAGAGGTGGGGAAAACCAGTGAAGCCCAGAGGAGGAAGCAGTCCAGATTTGCATGCTTGATGAAGAAGCAGGAGAGGGGCGCGCCCCTCTGTGGTCTCTGGCTCTGCGTTGTGAGCAACTGTTGTCACTGGCCAAGCCAGGAGGGGACTTGCATTCCTCAGGTGCAGAGACAGAGGCTGAGTCAGGGCCCCTGCTGTCAGGTCCAGATTCCTGGCCGGGCATGGTGGTGCACACCTGCAATCCGAGCACCCTGGCAGCTGAGGCAGGAGGATCACCACGAGTTCAAGGCCAGCCTGGGCTACACAGTGAGTTCAAGGCCAGCCTGAACTGTATACATGAGACACACAAAATCTAAGTTCCGTGAGGAGGTCAGCAGTGGGCAGGAGTGGGAACGACAGTGTGGTCCAGGGGGAAAGAGGATAAGAGACTCAGCAAGGACCCGACGTGAAATTCCGGTTCTTCCCCACTTCATACGTCATTCGTTCATTCATTTGTTCATTCGTTCATTCATTCAGTAAATATGACTTGAGTGCCTGCTGCTGTGTGGATGCACAGCGAACAGGGCAGGTGAGGACTCCCAGGAGACAGACAAGCAATGAGACCAAAAACATGAATGGTGTAACTGTGGCTAATGATAGTTGCTGTGGACAATTTAAATAACATGATGACGGCGACAGTGCTGGATGAGCTATAAACAGAGATATGGTTATTCTACAAATGTACTAAAAAAATAAGCTGGGAAGGCTGGCACAGTCCTGTAAGTCCAGCACCTGGGAGGAAAGGGTGGGAAGACTGCGAGTTCAAATTCAGCCTGAGGATATTAGCGACTTTGTGAGACTCTGTCTCAAAAGTAAAAAGAATAAAGAACAAACTGTAGCTCAGTGTGAAAGTCCTCGGTTCAGTCCCTACTACTTGGGAAAGGAATGATGAAGAATTAGTGGGCAAAGGCTCTAAAGACCCCAACAGCTTACCGAGCCAGAGGAATGAACAGCTGACCCGTGGGGCTGGATTCTGCCAGGCGGGCAGCAGGGGCCCGCACAGAGGCTTGTGAGGCAGAGGAAGAAGTTTGCATTTTACCTAAGTGCATGAGAAGCCAGGACCCAGTGGGGCTGATGTCTGTGGAAGACCTGGTGGGCAAGCAGTGGGTTGTGGGGGACCAGGGCACCCCGGGAGACTCTTTCGTTCATCAGAGGAGAGCTGTGTGCCAGTCGGGGTTGAGATGGTGAGAAATAGTGAGATGGGGTGCATTCTGGAAAGAATAGTTGGAGATTTTGAGAAAGAAGTCCAGGCACTCCGAGTCCCCTTGAGGTTTCTTCCTAAGGCATCCCCCTGCTTCTCTCTGGGTGCCAGGCTCAGGGCCACAGGCTGGCATCTCCAGACAACAGGGCCAGGCTGTAGCAATCCGGACTCTTGCTCTTACAGCCAGCAGGGAGTTAATTCATTTTCCTAACTCTGGTTTGAACATTCCTGGGTCATGGTGACCTGGGTTCTGCACGCACATTCCGGGTCCACTCTTACGGCTGAGCCAGGGTGGGTTAGGCATCGTGGGATCAGCGCAAGCCTGTGCCCACCGGACAGCTGGGAGAGAGAGGCCACTCCGGTGTGCATACCCAAAGGTCCTTGGGCACAGTCCTTCCTCTCTGCCTCGGGGGAACGCTGCAGGGCTCTGGTGGGAGTGTCCCCCTGAGAGAAGCCTGCCAGCCACGGATCTCCTCTGCTTCGCCGCTGTCTTTTCTTCCCTCTCTCACTCCAGTTCTTTTTTTTTTTTAATTTTATTTATTTGTGTGTGTGTGGCGCCAGCTCAGCCCACCAGGGGGCGGGGCTGGCTGGCATGTGGTGCTGGGGGATTGAACCGCGGTCCCTGTGCTTTGCTAAGCTTGTTCTAAGTAGGTGCTTTAGACCACTGAGCCATCTCACCAGCCCCCTCTCACTGCAGTTCTCTCGGCTACTTCTGACACAATGATTCTTACTCCATACCAGGCATCTGCTAGTGTTGAACGCACAGACATCATCCTAGATCTCGTGGGATTGCAGGCGACACACAGATGTCCACAGCAGGGGTCATGTGGCAATGGCCCCTGTGTAGCCAGCGTCCCAGGGGAGGCACTGGACAACGGCATGTCCCAGAGGCCTCTCTTCCCCCTAGCTTCGGATGTCACTGAGCTCCATCCCCACACAGGCCTTTTTCATTTTTTAGTTTGAGACACAGTTTTGTCAAGTCGCTAAGTTGCCCAGGCTAGGATTGACCTTGCAGTCCTTCTGCCTCAGTATCCCAGAGGGGTGGGCTTTCAGGCACACACACTTGCGCCTGGCTAAAAGTTCCTTCCTGGCTAATCCCTACCTTGAAACCTTCTTTGCTGAATTCTCCCATCCCTTACCTTCTGGCCTAGGAGATGGAGGGTAATCAGCAGGGCAGTGGAGCAGAAGGGCCTTTGGGCTTCTCTTGGCTAGTGTAGTATCTCCCACTTCATAATCCTACTCCCAGTTTACATGTCACCTTCTCAGGGAAGCCTTCCAAATCTACTGAGGATTGTGTTTGACTCTGGGTAATAAAGACCCAATTTGGGGCTGAACAAATAGCTCAGTGGATTAAAGTGCCTGCAAGCAGACACAGGGGCCGGAGGTTCGATCCCCAGGCCTGCTATGCCGGCCTCACCCTCAGGTCACGCTGAGACAGCAATTGAGACAGGGTATGGTGGCATGCGCCTGTAATCCCAGCACTTGCAAGGGAGGCTATAAACAGGAGAATCACTACAAGTCTGATCTAGTAATGAGACCCCGAATACCCTGTAGACTCTTCCCTAAAAATACAAAATAAATAAATAAATTAAATTAAATTAAATAAACACATAATGGCAAAAGGAAATCACAGAGCAAGGTCACTTGTACAGTCACTGGGCCAAATCTGACCTGCAGCCTGGTTTTTAGATAATGTTTTATTGGTGCCTGTAGTCCCTGCTACTGGGAAGACGTTGAAGGAGGATCGCGAGCTCAAGGTCAGCCTCCATGACTTTGTGAGACCCAGGCTCAAACTAAAATGCAAACAGCTGGAGATGTGGCTCAGTGGAGGAGCGCTTGTTCTGCCTACTTGAGGTCCTCAATTGGGTCCCCAGCACAGGGAAAATGTTTTATTGGGACATGACATACTATTATATGATGTCTGTGGATGCTTTCATGCTATATTAACAGAACCAAGCAATTATGATTTTGATTTTTTGAGACCACAAAGTCTAAAATAGATGTTGGTTGGCTCTTTACAGACAGTTTACTAATCCAGACATGAATTAGAAGGAACCTGGGTTCCATTGTGCCACTCCCTCCTCTTCCTCCTCCTCCTCCTCCTCCTCCTCCTCCTCCTCCTCCTCTTCTTCTTCTTCTTCTTC